ATCCTCCTCCCAAAGCCCAGTTTTTCTGTGATTACTTTTTAAATCAATTTTTTTTGTACGTCAGTTTCAAAGTTAAGTCTCTTAAGCTACCACCATTTAAAAACAACTTTTGACAGTATAACACAGAACGATATAATCTGTTTGGGTATTTACCCATCAGTGAAGCCATTAGAGCCAGGCACAAAGAGGCACTAGCAAGTATGTAGGCAGGAAATACTTTTAGCAACATCAGCAACAAGAAGGCCATGGTTGTGCACTGTACCAAGTCTTGCAGAAGTTGCACAAACTTTGCCATCAGAGTAAGGAAAAATCAAGAAACAAACTTGGATGTCAGAGCTTTCCTGTGGAACTATGCTTTTACATTCCAGCCCTTCCTTAAAGCAAAAAGTAAAGGATGATGGCAGCTTCTCTTTTCCTGCCCACCTTTCCTCCTACACCATAGGAATAAATTATCACTGATTAAATTAATATGCTACATTAATTTACAATTAAGTGATCACTAGCAATAATGATATATAATGTACATTCATAGTAACTGTAGAGCACAACTCAACACAAACTTGGCAAATTTTCCCATACATCAGCTTATTCTCTACATACAAGTAGTAAGGATAATAGTCATTTGGACCCATTGAAGATCACTAGAAACAAAGTGAGAAAGTATTTTTTTAAAAAGCTTCTTAGCCTCTATACAGATTTAAAATCTACTGCTTTCTAAGCTGCCCATCATACAGCAACTGTTTTATTTTTACAGAGATCTATCCTTATCATATGATGTTCCGATTTTGTACATATTCTATAGATAATAATAAAAACACTGTTAACACTATTTATACTCATGCAAAACACAAATATATCTACTCATTACATATTGCATTGAAGCCATGGGATAAAATGAATAAACTAGAACACACAAAGAAGATGAGGGTGTGCTTGTTTGTACTCGGTAAAACTCCTAAATATTTTGAGCTTCCAAGAAAAAGAAAAAAAAAAAAAAAAAAAAGAAAGAAAAGATTAAAAAGAAAGGGCGTTACACTGGTGTTTTTTTGGTTTTTTGGTGGGTTTTTTTTTTTTCTAGAAAATATTTGTCAGTATATTTTTTTCCATAGGAGAAGTATCTGCCAAGAATTTATAATATTTAGGAACTGTAGAACATGTTGCTTCTGTATTTCATTATACTGCATGTAAATGAAATCATAAGAATTACTTATTCCACAAGTAATGGCAGAATAAACATTGTATAGAAGCTGGGTCTTTGTGAGCATATGCAATATACTATGCAGCTTTCACTTGGCCTTACCTACGTGCCCCATAGTGGGTAAGAATCATGCTGGAATCTGACTGCCAGTGGATTACAGTGAGGATCAGTAGCCAGGTTTTGGAGCTGATTTTATCATAGAACAAAATAATGAATTGACCACATGTATTTAAGGGACTAGAAGAAAGACACCAAAGGATGGGACTGGGTCACTCTCTTAGTAAAGGAGAAGTTAAAATTACAGAGAGATCCAGTCTAGTTAATAGCAGTTAATATATTTGTATATATGAAAAACAAAGGTAACGGAACAAAAGCAATGGTACAAAGAGCTTTTCTCAGATGCAGACACTGCAGAAAAGATGACAGCAGAGTTCAATGAAGAGCTGGAAAACAAGTGCTTTTTCACCCTTGTTCTCTCCTAAAAAGCAGGAGAAAGAATACCATGAGCCCTATTTTTCTATCCCTACCACTATGAAGGAAAACAGTTGATCCAGAACTACATGAGACCACAGAAAATTTGCGGAACAGAAAAGAGGTGTTTTGAAGCTAATACACTAATATTTAAAAAATTTTAAGAGCCTTAAATCAAAGCAAAGACAAATTCATTATTATAGTCTTGCTACAGGTGTAAAACAACACATAGCATGCAGACTGGCCACAGGCTGGAGTGGAGAAAAACATTAGCTTCACATAAGCACTGATTGATGGTAGAGATTGTAGAGATGTTAATAGAAATCACAGAAATTTGAGAACTAAAACGTTTATTACGTCATCTAGTCTGTGTAGTTGACAGGAAAGGATTTGTTCCCTAAAGCATATTTTATATGGTTTTATTCAGTCCAATTCTAAATGGCAGAGCAATGAAGCTTCCACTGTGTTACTTCAGAAACCCGATTTGTTTATTGTTTGAATTAATTTGACCAGTTTTAGCAAACATGCTCAAGATGCTGTTCTTAATAAAAATATGGAATGCCCTCAGTAATTTATGTTAGCATTAAATAGCTAGTGAATATCCGATCTATAAGTTCTGTTGAAATATATCTTTACATATAACAGGCTGGTTTTTTCATATTAAGAAATGCAGGAATCTCTAAGATTTTGGCAGTTGGTTTCTGATGCAATTACAAAATTTTATCCAAATTGATGTGCTTTAGTAATCAGTTCAATACAATTCATAACCTCAGCTTTCTTACAGCTAAATTTCTGAATGATTTCTTACATATTTCCAAGCTCAAGTAGGGTGGAAATACCAGAAGTTACACTTTTTTTCACAATATTTTTATATTATTACTTCTTCAAGAATTTGGGATTGACAAAAAAACCCCAGAAAATTGGTGATAAATATCCTTTTTAGTACTGATGTCACATTTGAAAATATAATATTGCTCTTACATAGAGGATTGGTAACATTGAAGGAATATTTTACAATAGAATTCAACCTGATTTTTCAGGCAATTCTAGCAAAAATATACATCCGCTGTAAACTCAGCATGCTAATGAAGATATTCATATATAAATGTAATAAGTTCTGACAAAGCTCCCAAGAAAGACTTGATTTCTTTGAGTGTATCTAAAATTAGTGTTGGCTGTATATATAGATTACACAGACACACACACATATATGGATAATTTAATATTTTCTTCGCTGTTTGGGGGAAATATACATCTAGGCTGCAGATTCAGTTACCTCAGTGTAAAGTTTGTGCCCAATAAAACCATCTGGTTTATATGGGAAAAAAATTACAGGACTAAAAGGACTGAAGTTAAATCCTCTGTAAGAACACTTTTTCAGTGGAGAATATTTTCCAAAGTCATAAGGAACACACGTTAAAAAAAATCAGCTGTTTAATGTGCTATGGTGGAATCTGTATTTACTGTACATGATACCATCTTTATGGCATACGGAGATTGTCTTTCTTTTCAGCTGCCTAAAATATTATGCTGGTCTCAATGTTGGAAACATTTCTTAAGTATTTACTGTACTATAACAGAGATGTTTTGCCAGAAGAGTCACTGCAGAGCCATGGGCTCTGAGGGGGCTTTCCATATTAGGGGTTTTCTTGCTCTGGATTAAGCATGCCAACAGTAGTTAGTTGCCGTTCTGTATTTAGAACTGGTTTGCAGGGATGGATTTGGGTAAGAAATGATGAAACTTCTTGTATTTCATTGAGCTAAGCTTACTCCCACAAGACAACTTAAGGAGACATTCGTTAAGAAAACTCTCACAAACTATTCGGTGCTACATGAGCTACAGCAGATTTCTACAGCAGATTTCTGAATGCTTCAAGAATTCGGCACTTCTCCACTGCAGTTCTAATGGTCCCAAAAGACTGTGTCGACCGTGCTTTTAAAATATTTTTTTAATTTATTTTTACACTTTACTGGATACTTACTGTAGATCCTCAAAAATGACTACCAATATTTAAATAGAAAAATAGTGAACTAAACTATCAGCTTATATAACATAATTTCAGGAAAATACCGAACACTTCTTTAATCATGAGACAGCACCCTTGTACAAAATAATTCTGTAACTCCACTTAATTAAAGCAAAGTGAAAGACATTTCATTTAATTTATAATATAAATTGCATAGCAAATCCAAGCAGGACATTCAAATTTAAGGTTAGCGCTTAGGTCACTTAATTCCTATAGTAACCTTTTAATGTCCAAATTCCCTTTCTGTACCATAACTATATTGCACCAAAAGACTTCTCCCTGGGTAGCAGCAGCAGTACATAATCCTGGCACGGCCACCTGTCTGAGTTTCCTGTGTAATCCCATAATGTATGACATCAGTAGTGGCTATCTATAATCTTGTATTTATTTGTCATATCAACACTGTAGTTTCAGTGTTCTAATGATGTCACCCAATAAGAGTTGGAGTTTTCTTGAAGATGTCAAGAGCTATAAACAGAAGTGTGAACTCTTGCAGGTTTACTTAATCTTACAGCCGCTGAGTCCTTATTTGCAGTAGTTTGAGAAATGCTACTTCTCATGCAAGCTCACTAAGTCTGAAGCTAGGACAAGCCAAAGCAAAGAAAAGAGTTTTTTTGTCGTAAAATACAAATAAATTAGATCTAATCCTGATCTGTAAAAATAAGTTTATTACTGAACTTAAAAAAACAAAATAATCAGAAGCGTATTCACAGATCAAAATAATATATGTAAGAAGCAGTGAAGAACCACCTCACAAAACTTTCAACTTGTTGCTCTTTAGACTTGAACCTTTCCTATCAGAAGAGTCTTGTGAATTAGTTGTACTTTAATCACTCAATTGCATTTCCAGACAGCCAGCCACTTTACTCCGAAAGGTGCATCATTTCATGTACAAAATCTCTGCCATTCAGACATAATCAAGTAAAGCAACCAAGACCCATGTTCCACATATAAACAGTTTTATAATTCCAGAATACTCTGAGGGACTACAGAGCTGTAGGAAAACAAAACAAAACATGCACACACACAAAAAGTTTTCAGGGGCTTAAGCTGCTCCTCTTTCATAATAAAGGCAATTCCACATAAAACTTCAGAAAACGTAGATGACAAAAAGGAGGAAAAAAAGACTCAGTACAAGCAGAAAAACTACATTCTGAGCACAAAAATCACCTAATATGTTAGCAGAATACGCAACACTCAATTCTTCCTCTTCCTTTTGTGTGTTTGCATAAGAACTTTAAGCTAACAAATAGGATATAAAGTTCTTAATGTCTTCAGTTGAAAGAAACAATAGCATCACTTACCGAAAGATTGGTCTTTGGAGATGCTTTTTCTTGATTGTAACACAATCATCCATTTAAAGAGGGAAAAAAGACTTCTTCCAGCAAATAACTCCAAAAAGACCAGGGAGTAATCAAGAAACTTGTTCTTTGCTACTGTGCTGCAGAGAGCACACAGAATGATATTTTGGTGCTGGGGGAAGCCTCCCTCCCTCTTTCTGACAGTTGAGCAGAAAAGGGCCATAGAGGCCACATAAGACAGGCACGGCTGTGCACCAGCAAACCCTGCAGGCTGAGCAGAACTGGAGGCAAGTTGATCAAAGCACGGAGTTGTACTGGATTCCTTTCAACTGTGCAGGAAAAAAAGGGGAGCTTTGCCAAGTGCTACCTAGGTAAAAATGTGTTAGATTATTCCAGCCATGCGAGCACTTCTTACACATGCTGGTCAAAGTCTTAAATGCAGAGTCACTCTCTCCCTCGCTCTTTAAAACACACTGTTCCGAGGCTCAACTTTTTTTCTTCAAAATAAAAGTTGTGCAGCTGTTTCAGCATTCCCATGCGAGTACCTTCAGAAAGTTTGTTCTGGTAAAAGAACTGTATACAAATTAATGAAGATGGATGGATCTGGTCTGTGAGGCTGGCTCCACTTCAAGAGATTGTAATTATTTTACAATCTGGCTTTTATTCACTCTGGATGATGTGTGGATATAACTATGTAAATTAAAGCACTGCTCATAATTTTTAGCATTCATAACCTAATAACCTAGAGTTGGCTGAAGCTGAATATGGTGTTTGCAGCTGGTAGAACCATAACTACATAAAACAAACCGACACTATGTGAATGAGGAAAACAAAGCTGACCAAGCTCAGATAGGGCCAGTAGCAAACTGTTACTGTTTGCAAGATAAGATTTCAACAGAGATCCAAAGTCAAGAGCTTTCTCTGACATCATGCTGACATAAATCAGGAAGAATTCAACTGCAGCAAACAGAGGTTGTAACGAAAACAGTAAGGCAGGAGCAGGACCGTGGCTCTTGATGGACAGGTCATGAGTGGCTCAGCTGAGCCACCATTTCCCGGGGGCCTGCAGGGCTCTGTAACAAAGCACTGCTGGCACAGGGCCCAGCAGGAAGCATGAAGCCTGGCCAGAGAAGCAGAAAACAAGCATCGAGCCCTGGTCTGCATGCAGCTGCACAGCCGGGCTGCATAGAACTGCAGAGCCCTCCTGCAGAAGAGGAAGGGCCCTGCCACACAAACCTTCCCTGCAGCACAGCTCCCGCCTGCTCAGTTCTCAAAATGCACTTAGCATTGTGTGAGGTGATGTTTCTGAGGTGTGACAAGTGGATCAGCAAGGCCAGGCATCTTTGTAAGAGGGAGAGCAGAAGAGCTGTAAATTTACACAGCTAGGTGTACAGCACTGGCATTATCAAATTAAGCCTGAGAGACACGCTAAGTCTGAAAAAATGTCTTAGGCTGTATATAACTATATGAATAATTCACATATACGTTATAGTAAAATTATTATGAATTTCACAAATTTTCATGAAATAATGGCACATAACAGTGAAGAGATAACCAATATCATAATAATGTGTTTTCATATATGAAAATATAGGAGTTTGGCAGATTTTACTGAAACAGATATAATCTCTTCCTAGATCTAAAACACACAGCTTAGAGATCATTGTGGCGGTGCAAAGTTTGGTTCACCATCCCCACACTGTATGAAATAATTGCCATGACACAGTCACAGTGCAGTTATCTAAAGGAAAAATGGTCACATGATCATCATCAGTCAGTTATTTGCTGCTGATTCAATTTTATCTTGCCCCATCGTTTGTTTCTACTACTTTGAGGAGAGAGCTATACCTTCATTAGGACATCAGCTATCTTGATCAAATCACAGGTTAGCTTTTGCCAGGATCTTAAAAGATCTGAGGATCTTTCTTCAACAATATGCAGTGTTCAGAGTGTTGTCATATTTATGAGCATTTCATATAGTTATGGTCTTACTTATTCTTGCCTGCCAAGATTCGCATTTTTCTTCATGCATTCTTCCGGTTCTGGATTTCAGTTTTTCAAAATAATTCGCTGCTTTTTGAAGTATTCACTCACTGACTGTAGAGAAAGCTGCAAATCACAAAGAAATATCCCTTTTCATTCTGTTTCATATTATGTGTGTAGGGCTGCTGTACTTCTGTTATTCAGAGGAATTCAGAATAATGATCTTGATATCTTCTGAGGCTTTCAGGGAAAAAAGTCCTCAAGTTCTCAGTGAAAGCAATCCCAAATATGTTTTTCCATTGAACACAATCTTTCATCTTGTAGTTTTGCCAGTCCTGAAACCCCAAACACATCTTAAAAGTAATTTCTTTCTGGGCCTAGTCCAGTGAACGTTGTTGTCTGTGGGACTTCATTCAAGCTGGGTGCTGAATTCCAGCAGTACAATTACTTCAGCTACAAGGAATTCAAGAGTTGTTAACAAATATAAGAAAAATATGAATATAAAATAGCAACAAAACTTTGATTTAATTGTATTGTTTTTCTTCCAAACAGCCTTGGTTTTGTCCACTCAGTTTTTGTTCAACATAAGAATCTGTTGGTTTTTTCATTACAATATTCAGAAATCAGTTCAACTTGTTGACTGAGTATGCACATAAATTCTTCAAAAGAAAGGATTTTAAGAAAGATATGATAGATTAACTAGGCTGAAGCCTGAGTCCCTCTAAAATTACTCCTGCACTTTGTCAGTGGAAAAAACCATATGCATAAAATTCACTAGCATGTAACTTTTGCAGATTATGGTATTGGAGCATCCAATAGTGATATTATTCTATAATAGGATATATCTGGACCAGAAACACCAAACAAAGGCATCCTTATTAGAATGAAGAAGTATTGTGCTTGAAAGTTCTATGGCAATTTTAAAAAATCCTCTGCAGATAATATTAATTGTACTTCATGCTTCATACTAATCCTTTCAGTGGTAATGAGAACAGTAAAAATCTGTTCATCTCATATCCTAGAGGTCTCTTATTTAATTTAGCAATACTGGATGAAAATCCCAGAATTGTTGGTTTTCCGATTTATTTTCCAATTATTGTTGCTATTGTTTGTCCATCATAACTGATGACTGCTCTTTTTGCTAAGCAATGCAAGCTATTTTTATTTCACCTCTCAAGCATACATTCATGTGATAGCAGACTTTTACAACCAAAAGCATATAACACTTTATCACTCACAAAAATGGGGTTTCATCAACATGGGGATTTGTTGCAACAGTTATTTGATATCCAGTATTATTTCTTAAGCCAAGAGACACCACGTGAGCCAAACTATTTTACTCTGCTTGTTTTAATGCTACATTTTTCTCATTGATCTGTAGCTCATTGCCAGAAGTCTAGAAATGTAATTATTTTTCCTACTGTAATTTCAAATCTGTTGGCAATTAAGACAGTAACTAAGAGGTTTGACATTTAAAGCTTTAATTCATTATATGCTATAATCTCTGTTCTGCTTCCATAATAAAGCAAGGGGTCAGATACCCTCCCCTGTTGTTTAAGAAGTACGACAGCAAATGGAGAGCTAAGTTTCATGGGTCTGTTTATTTTCTGAACTGATTGGAATAGGGAAAAGAAAAAGAAAAAAAACATACTTCTATATACATGTGTTCAAGTTTTTGAAATGGAGAGATTTGAAATATAAAAACCTAAAACGGGGCTTATGCCCAGATTGTTATTTTACTTTTCAGTACAGTATCTCTTAGCAGTTCGTTGTTTAAGATACTTGTAAAGTAAGTAAATCACTAAGTAAAGCATGAACAGGAAACTTTACAGTAAGAAATCAGTGTATCTGTGTATCTCCTAACAAGATTAGCATCTAGGTACTTATATTATTACTGGATTAAATCCACTCCTTAAAGACTGCACACAGGCTGAGCATTTAAACACCATGCATAAGAAACAGTAGAGGCTGAAGTGAAATTTTTGAAATCCAAGTATGCCACTATTGTCACACTTGCAAGACCAATGCAAGGTCTCTCAAGGCATTCAAAAAGGCAGAATAGCTGTTATAGGCTGTTTGTGATAATGTAGGGGGTGTGCCTCTTAGCACCCCTTTTGCCTGCTTCCATTTCACAGACAGGCACCCCTGAGCCAGTAAAATTCCCAGCTATGTGACATCTTGCACTGTCCCCACACACAAGTTAAATGCTATAGGAGATGCTTTGATTGCCTGCCACGCAAAGGCTGAACTTTAACACAAGCCTGTTATTCTTCATTTAAAACACTACCTACTCAAATTGCAGTCGTATAACGGTTTAGTAGCTAAATAATAGTTACTAACACTCTGCATATAGCTACTCATATTACTCAGCACAGGTCATACTGTCACAGATCAACTTGAATGCTTTTTTCACTTAACAGCTCTATGAGGTTTGTATTAATCTTATATGTTCTGCATACATAAGTGTGTAGGACAGTGTGTCAATTTATTTTTTTCCCTGACGTCAGCAAAATCCACTGAAGGTAACCTAATGACTTCTCCATGCTTGAAAAACTAGAAAGAACTGGAGATAACTGTGACTCATTCAGAGTGCAGATAGAAAAGTTGGCAATCGTTACTGGATCTACTGTAGTGCATGTAGTAAAGTTCTGTACAAACAGTTGTGCAGGTCTTTAAGATCTGGCTTCCCTTTTTACCCCTTATAAGTAAGAATATTTATAAAATTGTGTTATTCTCTCTTGCTTTCCCTGTTTACATGCACACACAAACCAAGCAGAGACTTACGTCAATGCCGTCAGACAGGAGATTAATTTCCCTACTAAGACTTTCCTATTCAGAATACAGCACAGTAACTTGGTTTAAGAAGCTTCCCAGTTCTTCACTTTTACTTTTATATTTTTCTACATCATATCATATCATATAATATCAGGGGCACTGTTGCACAGAAAAATCTATAGCACCTCATTCTTTAATAAACAAATGTTTTTCATGAAAACTGTCTGTCATTTTAAGGGAGACGGGTCATCTACAAGCCTCTGAGTCCCAGCATTGTACTTCCCCAGAGTATCTGACCAGTCACTTCCTTTTTCAGACTATTTTGGACGTAGTCAGTCGTCACCTGTAATACTACAGAAGAGTTTCTCTGCTCCTGTAGGAGCAGCTCCATAAAGTGACTCATCCAGCATGTCTTTAACACTTGAGGGTGTCCACCCATTGATGCTATTTTTCTCTCCCTCTCCTCATTGACCAGATTCTTAAACAGCTAGTTTAGTCTAGAGGACAGGTTCACTGAAAATTGTAATATTTTGAACTTGTAATAATCATTTTACTGAGGCAGGAGTGTTAACCAGATGACCTTCAAAGTAATGAAGATGACAAATTATCCTGCACAACAATCATAGAATCATAGAATCATAGAGTCATAGAATCACAAGGTTGGAAACGACCTATAAGATCATCTAGTCCAACCATCTTCACATTACCACTGCCACCACAAGCTACTAAACCAGATCTCGTAGCTCCTCGTCCAGACACCTCTTGAACACTGCCAGGGATGGCGACCCCACCACCTCCCTTGGCAGACCATTCCAGCACCTGACCTCTGAGAGAAAAAGTTT